TGCTCCGCCATGACCTCCCTGCCAATTTGGATACAATAAAGGAACTGGAGGCCCCTCGACTGTTTTCGGGCCCAGTATTGGACCACTTTGACCGGATATCCCCAGCCGATGTGGACAGACTCCTCCGAGCTGGAAAGCCCACCACTTGTCCTCTCGACCAGTGCCCGTCCTGGCTGATTAGAGCGTGTCCAGACGAGGTGCGGGCCCCCCCTGGGGGGATATCATCAATTTGTCCCTTGGCACCGGGACATTCCCAGGGGAACTGAAGGAGGCAGTGGTGCGCCCGCTTTTAAAGAAAACATCATTAGATCCCTTAGATCTATCCAATTACCGCCTGGTTTCGAATCTTCCATTCCTGGGTAAGGTGATTGAGAGAGCGGTTGCTGAACAGCTTGGTAGGTTTCTGGATGAAACATCGGCTCTGGATCCATTCCAGTCCGGCTTCCGCGCTGGTCATGGGACCGAGACGGCTCTGGTCGCCCTAACAGATGATCTCCGCAGGCAGCTGGATCGAAGCGGGTCGGGGCTGCTGATTCTTCTAGACCTGTCAGCAGCCTTTGACATGGTCGATCACGAACTCCTGGACCACCGCCTTGCCGACGTGGGGATCCAGGGCACAGTCCTTCAATGGCTGCGCTCGTTTCTCTCTGGTCGGGGACAGAGGGTGGTGCTTGGGGGGGAATTGTCATCCCGCCACTCCTTGGTGTGTGGAGTGCCTCAGGGTGCGATACTCTCCCCGATGCTTTTTAACATCTTTATGCGCCCCCTCGCCCAGCTTGTCCGGAGTTTTGGGCTGGGCTGCCATCAGTATGCTGATGACACCCAACTCTATCTGTTGATGGATGGCCATCCTGACTCGGCCCCAGACACACTGATCAGATGCTTGGAAGCTGTGGCTGGATGGTTACGTGGGAGCCGGTTGAAGTTAAATCCTTCAAAGACAGAGGTCCTCTGGCTGGGACAGGACGATATGGGATTGAGGGGGCAACTCCCATCTCTTGCAGGGGTGCAATTAGTGCCAGCACCGTCCGTTAAGAGTTTGGGTGTAATCTTCGATATCTCCCTCTCCATGGAGGCGCAGATTGCAGCTATAACAAAGGCGGCATTTTTTCATCTCCGCCAAGCTAAGCAGTTGGCTCCTTACCTCTCTCGCCCTGACCTAGCCACTGTGATCCACGCGACGGTCACCTCCAGACTGGATTATTGTAACTCGCTCTACGTGGGGCTGCCCTTGAGACTGACGCAGAAACTCCAGCGGGTGCAGAATGCCGCAGCGAGACTCCTTACGGGGTCTTCGCTGCGAGATCACATTCATCCGGTGCTATACCAGCTCCACTGGCTCCCGGTGGAGTACAGGATCAGGTTTAAGGTGCTGGTTTTAACCTTCAAAGCCCTATACGGCCTAGGACCCTCGTACCTACGGGACCGCCTCTCCTGGTATGCCCCACAGAGGAACTTACGGTCTTCAAATAAAAACATCTTGAAGGTCCCAGGCCACAGAGAGGTTAGGCTGGCCTCAACTAGAACCAGGGCTTTTTCGGCTGCGGCTCCAACCTGGTGGAACGCTCTGTCACAAGAGACAAGGGCCCTGCAGGACTTGACATCTTTCCGCAGGGCCTGCAAGACAGAGCTGTTCCACCAGGCCTTTGGTCAGGGCGCAGCCTGACTCCCTCCTTTGGCAATCTTTACAAAACTTTAGTTTATGGTTGCCATCAATTTTGATTTTAATTAATTTTTATAATGTTTTTATAATGTTGCACTATTTTAGTGTTGTTAGCCGCCCTGAGCCCGGCTTCGGCTGGGGAGGGCGGGATATAAATAAAATTTATTATTATTATTATTATTAACATGGAATTTGCCTCTTTTCTTCTTTTTCTATCGCTGCTGCGCACTGGGTCAACATCTTCATTGAGTGAAAGCAAGTAAGAATTATGTCTGCTGTTAACTGAATTTAGAGGGGCTAACTTTAAAACAAACTACCTCTACTTTTGAGCCTGTATCAACACTGTCAGTGTTTCCAGACGACCTGTTTACTGAATATCTATCTTGATTTGTTTTGGGGATGGTTTAGATAGCACTGCATCACAGTAAATGTTATTCTACACTTTCCAATGCATTGCTCTTTCACATGCTCACAAAAAGCATTTATCACAAAAAGTCAGAGCTTTCGCAGTAAGCAGGTTTGTTTTGCAAGCCCTCCCAATCAACTATGATTTGCACAACCTGAATCTGCTGGCATGTGATTGAATTGCACCCCAAAACAGAGACAGTCTGCAAGCGCCCTCTGACCCTAGAGAATTAAGGTGGGGAAACTTTTCAAGGTAAGGAGAATGAAGAGGTTTTATTTGCTGCTGAAGCTCTGAGTGTCAGGCTGCAGCACAAGAGAAGGACCAATCAAATTGTTGGCAGCCCTGCAAATTCCACTTTACCTTTGCTGCTGAATCAAACGATGATTAACCTACCCATTTTCCCACCGACCCTTTTGTCCACCCCTCTCCTTATCGCTCCATCATAACAAGCAGGGCACACAGCAGGTAAGGGAAGCCATTGAAATAATGGAAAGTGGAAATGGGTGCAAGCAGCAGAAGTGTTTTATCTCCTGATTTAGCAGCATATTATAGAACAGGGGTGATGGAGAGTCAACGGATATGTTTTACTTTTTTCATCATCATGGTAAGCTGCACTTTAAGGTGGAAGGAGGACTGAAATCCTGCACACACCGGGTGTGTGGGTGTCTGCACGTATGTGTGTTGTTGTATGCAATGTTTGGGAGGAAATAAGACGGTAAATAACAAATAACAAACTAAATATCGATGTATGTAATTTTTATTTCTTAATTATATTTAGTGGTAGTATGGCTGTATTGTTTTTTGTAACATAAAATCATTTAATAAAAATTATTTTTTTAAAAAAAGAAATCCTGCACACACCTGTAAACAAAAACAACAATCTTCCATATCCTATACCTGAGATCTCACATTGAAATCAAAGTTGCATGCTTATGTCTAAACAGACTCAGAAGTATTTGTGGCTCTTGCGGTTTAGCTGTATGAAGCTTCACTGTCACATTTAAACAACAATTTTCAAAAGGCGGCTAATTGATACTTTAATAATTATCACAGAAAGCATTTTGGAGCAGCTCATTCTAAATGGCAGAGGCAGATAAGGCTTGGAAAATGAAGCACAAACTGCTTATTAAAGCACGCTCTGGCTCAGAGTCCACTTTGCTGGAAAAGCCCTGACTCCAATTCTGGGGAACTTCAAAAGGAACTCCACCCACACTGCTCCGGCAACAGGAAGAACAGGTTGAGCTGGCATCTGTTCTGGAGGGTGACCAGATGCAAAGCAGGATAGGGCTCCTGTAGCTTTAATAACTGTGTAATAAGAAAAGGAATCTGAACAGGTGCAGCATGCAGAAAGGTGCACCTGGCATAAAAGTTCTGCAATTTCAACCCTGCCACAGGGCAACTTAAAAACATAAACAACACTTAGAACCGAAACATCAACCAAGCACAATTACTCAAGTATGTGAAAACAGTCTGAAAACAGCATGGAAATATATTTCCCCTTTTTGCTCTCCAGTTCGGCTCGCATGCTTTTTTCTAATCCGAAGAGTTCTAAAGGAATTCAGTGCCGGCAACAGAATGCCACTTGCTTGCCACACTAGGAAGCTCCCAAGGCAGGGGTACCCCTTTCTTTTGGCCTCTTCTTACATCCCTTGTTTAGTGCAACCGTAAATCTGGTCCTCGCTGAGTAACACAGGGGGGAATTACCCTTGTGAAACAGAGGGAGTCATTAGTAGCCTGTTTACTTGGAGCTAACCTTCTGCCACTTTAAAAAACATTTTGTCTAGCGTCTGGCCCATAGCTTGCTTCTTCGTAAATAATGTGATTATCATCCCTCGATTGAGCATTGGTTCCTATTCATATCATACGCCACCACAAAAATCCAGTTGACCAACTTTTTGCTCAGTCCCACACTACATTCTGGAAGGATGTGATAATTCATAATATTCAAGAACATTATCTCTTGGTTATCATTTTTTGTCTGATTTTTTTAAATACTTGTTTTCTAGTACAGTGGTTGTTGTTGTTGTTGTTGTTAGGCTTAATACATGATAGCATTTTAAATTGTTCCTTATGTTGTTATAACTATTTTTATATAAAAATGTGTCATTGTTTTTATTGCAGATGTTTTTATTATGAAATCACTCTGAGATACTTTATGGGAAGTGATTCATATTTGAATCAAATAAGTACATTTAAATAAATAAAAGGTGCTTTTTAAATAAGGAATTGCCTTATCTAGTCGTCTCAAAGTGATTCACAAGCATACCACAAAAACAGCTAAAAATAGTTTTAAAAACAGCTAAAGATGGGTTTAAAAACAATGCAAAACGAGCACCTAAGGCTGAGACCTTTTCATCCAGCTGGAGATGTTGGTTGGAACAAAAATGTCTTCAGTTGTTATTGTTGCTGTTCAGCTTGTTTGAAGGTCAATTGTACCTTCATCTCTGAAATGCTTAATAAAAAAAAAACATAGTTGAAGAGAAAACAATTATTTGATTATTGTAAAGGAAAAAAGGAGTGTGAACCCTTGCTTAGGGCAGAATTGCTAATATACAAACTCAGGGCTGCCACTCAAAATGGGAACAGCGAGTGTCCCTTTCCTCTCTGCATACCCCAAATAGCAACACATAGAAACAATGCCCCACATACAACACACAATCCAATTAAGCTCACTTAATTACTGACATCGTTTACGCTGTGTATGTTCATATCAGTACATGTCCAGCTGCTAGCATGGATCTGTTAAAAGCACAATTGCATCAGGACACGTAACAGTGTCAGGACATCAGTACTGCACGTCTCAGCGATGGAGAGCTCTCTGTTTCTTGAAACATGCCTTTCTGCCTTTACATTGCAAGTAATTAAAACAATTGCTACTTGAATTATGCTTGGGACCCCTCCAGATTTAATGAGTGGGGGAGATAACAAAAGGGTCATAGCTCAGAGGTTGAGCATCTGCTTTGCATGCAGAAGGTCCCAAGTTCAATCTAGCCCAGGTAGGGCTAGGAGTGTCCGCTACCTGTAACCCCACAGAGCTGCTGACAGCCGGTGTGGTTGGTGCTGAGCTAAAAGGACCAGTGGTCTGACTCCGTAGAAGGCAGCTTCCTATGTTCCAAAATCCTTGACCTCTGAATTAGACCACCCAAAGCCAAGGTCTAGGCTGGGAGATATTTAACTCTCACAGGGGCTGGAGAGACTCTATAGCTCAGAGCATGATGCTGATAATGCCAAGGTTGCAGGTTCGATCCCATGTGGAACAGCTGCATATTCCTGCATTGCAGGAGGTTGGATTATAGGATCTTCAGGGTCCCCAAAATATGCAGCATTCAAGGGTAAATATGGAAACCCTTGAAGGGGAGGGTGGGAGGTCAATGGATAAAGCAACTTTTGTTTTATGCTAAAATTTGTAAAGTTATTTTTGTGAAAAATCAATAAAAAAGATTTGATATTTTTTATTTTTAAAAAAGATGATCCTCAGGGTCCCTTTCAACTCTAAATAGACCTGAGCAGTCTTATCAGAAAGGGAGAGCTTTCGGAAAGATTTTGGAGAGATGGAAGGCCAAAAGAATCTTGGGTTGCTGGGTGTCTCCAGCTGCATAGAAACCAAACATTGAAAGCACATTTCCCCCGCCACCCCAAAAATCCTGGGAACGGTAGTTGTTGAAGGTGCTGAGAACTGTAGCTCTGTGAAGAGTAAACTACAGTCCCCACGAAACTTTTCCCTGGTGGAGGGATCTCTTTTAAATGTGCTTTCGGTGTATGGTGTGCACATAACCTCTCTCTCTGGAGATCTGCTGCATGCCAGGAATGCTGATGCTGCTTGCCTCCATCTAGGCTCTTCTGGGATTGGGATATTTGTAAATAAGCCAGGCATTGCTGACACACTGTCCATCTCCAGGGAGCTCTTTTCCAAGAGGAAGCCAACCTCCAGGGAGCTCTTTCCCTGCATCATTGGGAGATGTGGGGAGCACATCACAAATATGAATGCTTCTCATTGCATGTTGAGGTGTGTAAGACAAGACAGAGCTCCTGCATTTTTAGAGCTGTGTGAATTTCCCAACCACCACCTTCTTAAAGGCAAAGTGGCCCCAGACCCTTTTTAGCATAGCTATGAAAAGCATTGTCTGGTCACCCTAGTTCCAAACGAGAGGGAGAACAGTCCAGTCCATTGCTTGCTGTGCTGTCTGCAGCAAGATGGTGCTGGAGAATGGCTGTTGCTCAGTGGTAGAGAAGGTCCCAGGTTTAATTCCCAGCATCTCCAGGTAGTATCCCCTGTTTTGAATCCTGAAGAGTCAGTGTGTACAATGCTGAGCTAGATGAGCCAGTGGACAACTTCCTAGGTTCCTGTATTCCACATGACTGTTCCGGTCTTTAGCGGTGGGCGAGAACCAATGCATTGCTTTCCCACCCACTGGGGCATCCCATTGCATTCCAACGAAAGAAGCAAAACTGACTTCACCACTATTTATTTCGCAGACAACCTGCTGCCTACGTTCGAAGGAATGTTTCAGTGGGTGCAGACACTTAAAACATCCAAAGGGATCCTGGGGAGGATAAGACAGCTGGGCACATAGCTGAACACCCCTGCCTAAAGCACAAGCAAAAAAGAGAAGAAAAGCTGGACTCAACCACCCTTCTCCTGAACTTGCCTTTAAAACAATGGAATTCCCATCTGGATAAATTACAGATTCCAGATTCACATTTGAGATCGCCTATCCTGTTTCACACCTCTGCTGCAAGTCCTCCACCAAAGACTTTGTTGGTCCAGGAGAATGACAGCTGATCTTATTAGAGAAAATACCATAAGAACAGTCTGCATTTGTTGATGAGAATTTTGAAAACAATTTTGTTTATTCTCAGCCGGCTTGATCAAACCCAGCAAAAATTAGTTGGTGGAGGCATGCAAAGAAGAGCAATGATTAATGTAAACAAACAGACAAACCCAAATAAGCCACCAATATTCTCATTTTCATTTCTTGTTAATATAGAGGATAAGGAAGAAATTGTTAATTTTGTTGCAGCTGCCCATAAATAATTATCGTCCCAGGTCTTTGTGATATGAACTAATCCACAGTGCCTTAATTAAAGGATAGTTGTTTTAAACTATATATTTAAGCCTCCACTCTTGTGATATAAATTGGGTGTGACTATGTTTGCCCACAGAGAAAATAATACCAAAAAATATTTAGGAGTAACAAAGGTTGTGTAACGAAGGGAGTGTCTGAACTATTGCGTCTGACCTTTCCAACTCACTGCCAAATTGTGCCTGACCTCTCCATCTTGAAGATGTCTAACTTCATCCCCTGATGCCTAGCTTCCCCAGTATATCTGAATGTTCCCTAGCAAACCAACAGATTAAGTAGGAGAAAGGTCAACAAGTTAAGTGGCTTGGTGGGGTCCACACTGCTGCATCAGAGCAAGTCAGTATAAGCAGGAGGTGAGGTGAGAGCAACATGTGCACACCTTCACCTTGCTAAGAACATGGAGTGACCTGAGATGGGAATCTGCACCAAGGCAAGGAGACCCAACTATCGCCTTCAAGAGGTGTGCAGCTATTATCCACCCATGTTTCAGGAAACCTGTTACTAAGCTGGCTGACAGCCAGGTTGCATCAGCCCTGCATCTTAGCTTTGAATGTAGGCTAGCATTAAAAGGGTGCTTGATTAAAGTAGCCTTGGAAAACTATGGCATCCTGGAGGGGTGAACTATTTACAGTATTTACGGTTCTTTGAAGCCACATCTCTGATGCCCTTTTGTATTTGTGTGTTGTGAAAATGTGACTGCATTTGGAATACTGTGTACAGTTCTGTTTGCCTCACCTCAAAAAGGATATTGTAGAGTTGGAAAAGGTTCAGAAAAGGACAAGCAAAACAATCAACCACCCTACTTTGTAGCATGGCTCTTTTTTCATAGAGAAAAAAAGGCCAAAGATGTGTTCATAGATCTCAGGTGTCACATCAGATTTGAGGCTTCTGTTGCAACTACTGATTGCATCCAATTCTCTCTTGGACCCTGAGAGAATTGGTTGCCTGATCAGGAGCAACTGTAGCTATTCAAGAGCTTAGGTAATTGTATATGTCCAGCTTAGAAAACTTGGCTTGCTGCTTTTCAAGTGAAAGAATTGATTAATATACTTGGGAGCTGGGCAATTGAGTTCCTTTTATTAGGGAATTAATCACTAATATGTCTTCTTGCTTTTGATTAAAACGGGGCTGTTGTTGCCACGTCTCAGCAAGAGAGTTCTGTAGAGAAATACTGGAGAAGATACTGGGCATTCCCTACCCCTGATGCAACCCTAACCCTGCCCACTAAATTTACTGTTCCTGCTCTTTTGTACTGATCATTCCTGTGTATTCCATTCATTCATTTCTTCTTCCACCCAACTGTTATCCTTGCTTTTCCATAACTGCCTACATTTCTGCAGCCAGGGATAGCTACATTGCCTTTCCACCCCATCTCTGTCCATTTCTTCCTGCTCTCAGGGCCGGTCCTATCATTAGGTAAAGTGAGGCCACTGCCTTAGGCAACAGAGGTTCAGGGTGGCAGCTTCCTTCCACCCATTTCTCTTCAGCCTCCTGGGTGTTCCCCTCTTCTGCAGGAGAATGGAGTGATGTACACCACACAGCCTTGCCTGGACCATCTAAGCTAGTCTGTTCACAGGTGCAGTGAAGGCCTCTGTCCTATCACCAGCACTAAGTACGATTCAACAGCCAATCTGGTTGGCTTCTGTACATGGAATGGAAAGCACTTTCCTTTTGCCTCAGGCAGCAAAGTGTATTGAGCTGGCCCTTGATTACGACAAGGTGGTAACCACCACCTTCCTTCTCTTTCCCCATTGTTCATCCCCTCCCCCTCCTTGAATCTGGCATTGTCTCAGCAGCAAAACTTGAATAATGCCTTCTGGCTCTGCCGCAGGGCCCACTTCCTAGTCCTCTCCACCCATCACAGTTTCCTGTCCTTGGAATGCTACAGTGTGAAGCCTCAACCTGCCACTCCCCGAAGAATCTTTGGGAAGTTCCTGGAGCCCCAGGGAGGTGTGCTGTCGAGTGTAGTGCCCATGCCAAAATTGAGGAGCTCTTGGCTCAGATCTCAGCTCACGCTGTATGTTCATTGAGTGGAACTAGGCAAATTGCTCTCTCGCTCTCTTAGCTCCAGCCTTATCTAACACAGGGATAATAACACAGGCCTGACAGGGATTATTGAGTTTATGCATTCGAGTACTTAGGAAAAGTGATGCTTAATAGTGTATTATCAGGATATATGTTGAAGCCATCACAAGAATGCTTGGGTATGTCCAACCCATTGAAAGCACAGACACACAGAGGAGGAACAGTTACAGCATTTGGGACTTTTTCGTTTGGAGAACAAGGCGACTAAGAGGTGATGTGGCAGAATTTTATAAGATTATGCATGGTGTTGAGAAAGTGAAGTTTTTCTCCCCCTCTCATAACACTAGAACTCGCGGACATCCAAACTGAAGACAAATGCTGGAAGATTCAGGACAAATAAAAAGAAGCACTTCTTCACACCAGGCTTGGTTAAACTATGGAACTCCCTCCCACATGAGCAGTGATGGCCACCAACGTGGGTTGCTTTAAAAGAGGACTGGACAAATTCATGGAGGAGTAAACTATCAAGGCCTACTAGCCATTGTTGGCTATGCCCCGTCTCCATGGTCAGAGACAGTAACACTTCTGAATACTAGTTTCTGGAAATCTCATGCGGGGAGAGTGCTCTCATGATCGGGTCCTACTTGCAGGTTTCCCACAGGCATCTTGCTTGTCACTCTGAGAACACAATGCTGGACTAAACGGCCATTGGCCCAGTATACCTGAAGGAGCGTCTCCACCCCCATTGTTCTGCCCGGACACTGAGGTCCAGCGCCAAGAGCCTTCTGGCGGTTCCCTCACTGTGAGAAGCAAAGCTACAGGGAACCAGGCAGAGGGCCTTCTCGGTAGTGGCACCCACCCTGTGGAATGCCCTCGCATCAGATGTCAAGAAGATAAACAACTACCTGATATTCAGAAGACATCTGAAGGCAGCCTTGTTCAGGGAAGTTTTTAATGTGTGACATTTTAGTGTATTTTTGGTCTTTGTTTGAAGCCGCCTAGAGTGGCTGGGGAAACCCAGCCAGATGGGCGGGGTACAAATAATAAATTATTATTATTATTATTATTATTATTATTATTATTATTGCCCTAATCCAGCAGAGTTCTTCTTCTTTTATTATATATGAGTTACTTAGAGCAGCCTTCACCAAGTTGGTGCACTCCAGGTGGTTTGGACTACAACTCCCCTTGTGACATAGATTGAGCTGGCTGGGGGCTGCTGGGAGTTACAACCAAAAACATTTGGGGGGCACCGGGTTGGAGAAGGCAGATCTAGAGAACGGTGGGCTAGATGAACCTTGAGGCCTAGTTTCCATCTCATCATCTCCCAAAGTCATCTCAGTCACTTCAGGTTTTCACAGCAGTACATAGTGAGCTCTTGACTACTTCACTTCTTTGGTTTCAAATGCAGTGTTCCCTGCTGACCTTAGATATGCTTTGAGTAAAAGAAAGAAAGAAAGAAAAGGCACACGCTTAATGAGACGTAGGCAGCAAAATGTCGCCCCCTCCAATGCTTTTACAACAGAGGGAGGTTAGAGGAGGTGAAACAGCACCCTTCTATCAACAAGTTGTGGCCTTTCGCTTTCACTTGATATCTGTCTGGAAGTTTTGCTTTAATTTAATTGATCGATTAGTGATTTAAAAGGCAGCTAAAATCCTGTAATGGGTTGACAGGACAAGAGTGCCTGGTAAATGAGCAGATTCCTGCTGGTTCACACTTCATTATTTTTCTCTGATCATGATGTGGAAAAAGACATTAGATATGCTCAATGCACATTTGAAAGCAGGGTAGTTGTGATGATTAAGCGATGTGTTTGCTGCCCTTAATGTTTGAAGGATGGGTAGGATGCACATCTGAGAAAGGAAGAAAAGACCCACGTGGTCTTCAAAGAATTGGCCTGTGAAGTTTGCAGCACATTCTACGTATGAACTGTTTAAGAAACGATACAAGATCTTCTTGCCCTTGGAAAAGGTGACATGTCAGAATACATCCTTTGGCATATCATTTGATACATCAGTTCTCTCTGTGTGTGTTGGCTTCAAGCCGTTTTCTGGGGGGCAGGGGAGTGGCTCCTCTTCATCTTTTTGTTCACCAAAGAACATCTCCGACCCGCCCTCAAATCCCAAAGATCCTTGGAAGCAAAATGAGAGAATTCTCAGTTTACACAACACATTCTTTCCAGGACAAGTAGAGAGCGCTTTCCCTAAGACCCTGGCAGGTTCTGGAACTGGCACCTCAAGGCAGCTACCGCCTTTAAATCAAGGGTGGGGACATTCGGGCCCTCCAGGTCTCTCTGTGTGGGCCTGGCCACACACACACTAGTCCACCCACCTTGAGTGCTTTTGCCTGTCTGGAATGTGCCCTCGAATTGTGACAGTGCCTCTTGCTTGCCTAGAGCGAAGGGGTGTGTGCTTGTAAACCTTTGACTTTTGCATGGCTGGAGCAGAGCCTACTGTACAAAGGTAACAGTCAAATCAGCTTTTCTGTCCATGTCTCTCTGGCCACAATCTGCCCCGGCACACGGCCCCTGAAAAGTTGCCCATGAAGGAATATGGCCCTCTGACCGAAGAACTGGCTTTAAAAGATGTCCAGGCTGTTTCAGCTAAACCTGGGCTGCCCGCACACACAAGAGGAAGCCGTCACTTCAAAATTAAAGTGCACGAAATCATACAGCAGTAACGAGATTTTATATATATATATAAAAAAAATTATAGAAATCATTTTAATAAAATTGTTTTAAAGGAAAAAAAGGAAAGGCACACTAGAAGAATTGTCAGTTTTATGGGAAAGACGTATTAAAAAGGTGCATTTGACCAAGCCTGCAACATTCAAACACACACAAAAAACCCCTGGGGAACAAAAGATTGCCTACTTTTGTTCATCCAGTTCAGCTGGTTCGTTCCTTTGAAGAGCCACAAGGGAAGAAAAGGGTACCAGGTGCCAATGTAATTCTGCAACCCTCCCTAAGCCCTTAGGATAGAAAGGGATACAAATTGAAACAAATGAAGGCTGTCTAATTACAACTTAACTCCCTCCCACCCTATCCTATAGGCTTATGTTGATGAACAACATGCAAAACATAATACATACCAACAGCAAACTCCAGACATAGGTCCTTATGTAGTCGAATATCACTAGGCTCAGGAAAACCCCAAAGTTCATTTATTTATTAACTGCATCTATAGCCCACCTTTTTCTCCAAGGAGCAAAACGTGGCATGCATGGTTCACCCCTCCTCATTTAATCCCCACAACAACCATATCAGGTAGGCTACGCTGAGAGGCAGTGACTGGCCCAAGGTCACCCAGTGAGCTTCATGGCAAAGTGAGAATTTGAACCCCGGTCTTCCAGGTCCTAGTCCAGTGCTTTGACCATTCCTCTAGGAAACCAAAAGGTTTACAAAAGTTGTTAGTAAAAAAACCCCCACAGAAAACTCAAACCCTAAGAGAGGAACCCTGCTAACAGCCCAGTGCGAACAGAGCATGCTCAGTGGCCACCAAATGCTGACTGACAGTTACAGGGGATGGGGGAATGGAGTGGAATATCTTGGGAAAAGATGTAGCTGGCTGGGATCCTGAACAGGAGCGCTCCACACTGAAATGTTTTCTTGCAGCCCCACTTGTATAAATTAGGAAACAGGGCATGGAGGCAATTATCTGTCCTGACCCAGAGCTTTCCCCACAAAAACCTGCTCTTTAAAGCTGAATCAATTTGGGTTTCCATAGACTGACATTTGCTCCAACTGAGCTTTAGAGAGCAGGTTTTCGCTGAGTATGCTCTGGAGCAAAAAGAAAAAAGAAAAAAAAGTGTTTGGACACAGAACTTTAAATCGCGGACTGTGCCTGGAAAGAGCGGAGGAAAGGTAAGTGTAGATAAGCCCAGTCTTTCTTCTTGTTTTTATTGTGTATTTTGGGTTCTTATTTTGTATTTTTATGTTGTGAACCTCCTTGTAATCTTTGAATGAAGGGCAGTACAAATTTAATGTTTTATTGTTGTTGTTGTTGTTGTTATTATTATTATTCCTGCCAAACCCGCACTTAAAAACTCTTGGCTGACATGCTACATTTGAGTAACCCATCAGTCAAATCCATCTTCTGTGTGAGAACTTTCCACATATTATGAAGACCACTATCGTGGCTGCTGGAAGTGCAACAGCAGAGATCATTCAGTATATAAATTAAGAGTTAATTTTGTTGTGTTAGTCAACTACCTGAGGGGGAGCTTTTGCTTAGCAACCAGTCAGAGTGGTGTGATCTGATTGGCTGTGTGCTCCCGGGGATGAGGCATTTATGCTGGTTTATCTCCAGCTGAGCTAGGCCTAGGGACTTCTGCTAGTATAGCCTGGCCAAGTTGGGAGCCTGCTAGCTGAGCTGGAGCTCCTCCATATCCTAACCTGCTCACACTGGCAGATGTAGGGATAAGATTGCTCCCTTAGTTGGCTGTTAGCTGTTTTTATGCTGTTGTAGTGCATGCATTGTGATGTGCTTGTATCATGCCTTTTTGCTGTGAGCTATTCCCCAAATCCAAAACAAAAATTTACCAAGCTGCTCACTTCAGATGCAGACTGACCAGTATCTCAATAGTAGTATGTGTTATTTTAATTACCGGTATATTATGCAAAGTGTTTGCAGTCGCTTTTCAGGGCTACACCCTCACAAAGGGACACACAAGCAGGAGCAAGGCGTGCTATAATAGCCACATTAGAGAGGATGCATAACAATTAAAAAGCTGCTCTGTAACACCCAAGCAACCTCATGACACTCTCAGATAAAGAGAACATTGCAGAGGAAGGTTTTCAACGCTCACCTAAAAGTAGAGCAGAATATGGCTGCTAGATTGCTGAGTGGGGCAGTCTGATGGGACCACGTGTCACCAGTCCTGAAATCGCTGCGTTGGCTGCCGGTGAGCTTCAGGTGTTCATTCCAAGAACTACTTGGGACACTATAGTACCAAAGAGATCATCTCCTCAAAATTTCTCAAGCTTCACGATTGCCAAGGGAGGTCTTGGTGGTGCTGGTGTCCCCCCAATTGGCACTTTCTCTGACAGGACCTTCTTGGTGGTGGCTTCCTGTTTGTGGAATGCCCTCTCTGGTGAGGTTCATCTGGCTTCCTGTTAACATTCTAAGATTTTAAAGACATTCTTCTTCACTCTGGCATTTGATGGCTAAAAGATTCAGTTCCCGACAACCTTGAAACTATTAACTGTGAGGATACATGATTGTTTTTAAAAATATGTTTTTAATGTTTTAATTTTTTAAAATGTTATGCTGCTTTATTGCTTGTCCCCCTAGGTTTCTTTGGGATGAATTTAATCTAATTATTATTATTTTTGCCTGGTACAGATAGGGTAAGGCTCAAGTCTATAGGAAGGAGGTTTCAATTCTATAGCTGCCACTAAGAAGGTCTTGTTTCTTTTCCATACCACTGAACCAATCTTAGCAGCAGACACACGAGAACAACCCCTGAAGCTGATCTTAGTGTACAGGCAGGGTTATATGGGTGAAAACAGCCCTCCAAATAACCTGGTCCCAAGTCATTTAGGGCTTTGAAAGGTTAATTCCTACACTTTCAATTGGACCTGGAGGTTGACTGGCGGCCAGTGAAGATGACACAAAATTGGTGTTATGTTTTCAGGCTTTCCGACCTCCACCAGCATCCACGAACAGCTGCATTTTATACCAGCTGCAATTACCATATTGGCCTCAGAGGCCGACCCCAATAAACTGCATTGTAGTTTGGAGAGGAATCCTGTGCATGGATGGCCGAGGCCACTTCAAATAGGCTTGCAATTAGCAGGTGTTTTCAGAAAGCACTCCTGACAACAGCTGTTACCTGTGACTCACCAGACAACTGCAAGTCCAGGACTGCTGCCAAGCTATCCTCCTGGCCCTTTAAAGGGAATACAATCCCATCTGCACGCCCCTATCCAGATGTGCTGATTCCCAACCCACAATATGCTAACCAAAACAGCCAATCTTCAAAATCCGCACTTCTCAGAATTTTGCAATGCAGTGCCCACAGCAAACTGTACAGAACTGCGTATAACTAGGATAAAATGTGCATAAAATACACATGTATCAGTGAAAATAACATACAAAAATGCATTTTATCAGGGGGAATTGCTTTGAAAAAATGTGTATATTAGTCAAAATTGCATATAAAAATGCGTGCATTAGGGGAAAAAATCACTGAAAAAAGCTGGTGAATTTTCACGAGGATTTCTTTTTTAAAATAAAGGTTTTTAAGGAAATGTGGAGAATTTAACTTAAATATGGAAAAAACCCCAAAACTTGGAGAACCAAAAGTGACAGATTTATTCATCTCGAACCAGAACTTATCCCTCACAGTTCTCCACAAACCCTCAAAACTGCTGGGAGATGCTCTGGACCAAATTTTGCAGGTGTGCAAGAAGAGAGGAGGCGGCGGCAGCAAAATACCATTATCTGAGCGGAAGTCTGTCTGTTCAGCACTGAATACAATCCTCTGTTTCTCACTCCTGTTTCTCACTTCCCCTGTCTCAGATTAAGTTTCGGCCAGTAGCAAGCAGCAATATTTATACTGTGCTTGTTTAGTGCTCAAAACACTTCACAGTGTCTTGGGGAATGTAGATGTTTGGAAGAGCTGCAGTGGGCGAAGTTGACAAAACAGCATGCAAAAACTCGGTGTGCATGGAATATACCTCCCACATAGAGAATTCTACAGACCTTTGCAAGGGTTTGAGACAGAATAATCAAGTGCTCTGCAGCTGATCAGAGATTTATTCAGTTTCATCCGAATCCTAATGACCCAGCAGGGTCTTTGCACATCCCACTTGCAAGACAAATGTTACCACTATTAACTGCTTTGCTCAATAGCTTGCTTTTCCACTGCTTCCCATCTGTCATAGTTTAAGAGCTGGAACATTTTCAGACGAGAGCAATTGTGATAAGATTATCTTCAGAGCAGCTCCCTACACAGATGCTATGTAGGATAGGAAGCAGCCAACAAGGCCAAACAAGACGCCCATCAAAACGCAGGTCTTTCCAGCCGAGCCTGTCTTGCCTTGAATGGCAAGAAGCAAATACATCTGCAAGGATTAGCAAACACCATTTGATGCAAACGAATCAGGAGTGCCTGACCTGAGCAATGCTTGCAATCAAAGCAGCTTCAAGGGAGTGACAAATGGTGTGAAGTCATTTAATGTATCTAAGTAAAGACAACCGTGGACAGAGCATCTTAATTGTTGCATTAAGTGCATTTAGGTGAACTCAATAAAGATTGATTTCTTCATTGTGTTTTCCAAGTAATGTATGTTTTTTTTCTTTCAGAAAGTCCTTGCTTGCCTAAGCTAGGGTCTTTCCAAGTTGTCCTGCTAGGAGACAGGGCTATTTCCTGTTGCTTTATTTAGACACAGACTTCTGTAATACAAATGTGTGAACCAGAGGAGGTTGGTTGGTCTATCAGGGTGAATGACACACTACCCCATCAACCTCAGTTTGTCCCCAATCACTTACCTGCCTTCTTACCAGGAGGTGGCTCTGCTGCTTGGCTCTCTGGCTCCACCTTCTGTTGGCCTCCTTGCTTTGTGCCCTACCAGTATTTATTTATTGAATTTATATCCCACCCTTTCTCCTCAGTATTCATGGGCGCCGTCCACCAGTGATGTCAACTTGCCTTTCTCTTTATTATTCAAACCGTGGGACTTTGGAAAGTCTGGGGCTCATTCATGGACACATAAATGAGCCACAATTAATATATCAGAGACACACAGCCAATCTCTTTATAGTCAGCAAGCATGGTGGACTTTGTTGCTGTAAATTAGGAACCTTCTCCCCCACCAGAAACTGAAAGTTAAACAGCATCACATAAACTGGATATTGATTATCTTCTATGTACTGATGGAAAGAGGCAAAGCTCCGGTAAATATTGCCAAATCAATAGTTCTGGAGAAATAAGTGAGTGCAATAATGAGATCTCATTGTAGCAAAACAAATCCATGGTGGCTTATTGCCAAGATCAGGCGGCAGCTGTGTCATGAATGCATGGCACCACCAGAATGTCTGGAAAGGTGTGTGGAGCTGTGTCAGTTCTGTGTGCAAGTGTCACTTTCTCATACAGACACTATTTTCCCATGGCAGTCAGTTCCTGGCAGGGATACACAACAAATTCACAACTTATCAGTTTCAATATTCTATTTTTATCTCATACAACCCTGGGGGCTTCATATTATGATGCAGTTTATAAATTTGTTAAATAAAAATAAAAGAACTTAACTAACCGGCTGATCAAAATGTAGCTATTCTTTGGATTTTTCACTACTCTGAATTGCACCAAAGCAAGTGTTGATCCTGTTGCTTTTGTCCATGGAGTTTTCTTGGCAGGGATACTGGAGTGGCTTGCCGGTTCCTGCTCCAGGTGGATCATGTTTAGTCAAAACCCTCCACTATGACCTGTCCATCTTGGGTGGCCCTGCATGGCATAGCTCATAGCTTCTCTGAGTTACTCAAGCCCCTTCACCACGACAAGGCAGTGATCCATGAAGGAGTGATCCATGAAGGAGCCATGATGGGGTCATGAAGACTCAGACACTACTAAAGGACTAAACAACAAAAGTGTTGATCCACACATCCCAGTGCATTTTCCCATCACTGTCCTTATTGCAAAAACTCCAGTATTTGGAGGAAGTAGGTTGTTGCACAGGACCTCCCAAGCAACTCTAATTGTGCAACGTGGTGTGATTGAAAACAGGAACTGTCCCAAAGCACCCATGGTTGGTCTAAAACCCCACACCCGGATATTCCAATTGGTTAAAAGCAGGATTTTTTTTTTTAAAATGGGGCAATATTAAACATGCATTCCCTTAGTCTGATGTGGAAAGAGCTGTAGCAGATCCTTCTGTTTATGTAGCCTGGGCTCTGAAATGTACACTATAGCCACGGGGCTCAGTTGCTTCATCGCTCCTTCATCAAGATTAGGGACCACATTGACATTCATTGGAGAACAGCCAGAACATAAATATGGATAGTCTAGTATGTACAGGTACTAGCAGCTGTAGATTTTGTCAGTGTTCCACATGTTTTGTTTTTCTTCAATTCTATTGCAATGCATTTGTATTCTCTGTGTTAAGCCGCCCTGGGAATACTGACATGTTGATGGTGTGGGGATATGGATTTAGTAAATAAAGATAACAACAATTCTATTAAATCTTAATGCAAACATTTAAATATTTAAGAATGAGGGTCTCACACTTGTCAGTTACCCCAGTGCCTTCACACTCATTGAGCTGGATCCAGACTTAGTCATTCTTAAGGTAGATCCATTGAAATCAATGGGTCTTAAGTTATTTCAGTGCATCTTCTCTAAAGCTGCATTCCTTAACTGAGAGTAAGCAACTCTAAATTCAACAGGACTAGACATGGGCAGGATTGCACTATTAGTCTGGTTCCAACCCATAGACCACAATACTGGAAAATGAGAGCAAAGCTATTTCTTAGTGAGAAACTATGTGAAATACTCCTTACACGCTGTGTGTGTGTGTGTGTGTGTGTGTGTGTGTGTGTAAATGGGATAGAGACTTACTGTTATGTACTGAAGTTCTCACCCTGGGCCAACAGGGGGATACTGTAGATAGTTTTCACTCAGGTCCACATATGCAAATAAGGAATTGAAAGTTACATTCAGTGATTGGATAGTTACAGAAAGTTGTTACTGTTGCCTTGTAGTTGAGCTCTATATAAGCAGGTTGGCTGAACCCTTCAGCTTAGTTCTGTTCTGGCCTGTGAATAAACAAGAGCTGTTTGCAGAATCACTGTGTCGTCTGATATGTTCACCCACAACTTAACACTTACTTCACCCATTCCCTCAGCTCTGCAGCTTTACAGGATATGCTCAAGTAAATTCAGCACAAAAAGAAAGAATAAAGGAATAAATACCAGTGTCAAAGGGCAGACTCAAAGAAATAGAAATAAAAGATGGTGAATATAATTCTACAAGAGGGGTCGGGATGTAATGTCTGAGGGAGCACACAGAAAAATCATTCTAGTGCAGCAAACCCTTTCAGACCCCACAAGTATAAATTTATCTAGTTTGTCTAGTCATTAAAACGGTTCAATCTTATTGTCACCTCCCACTGCTACAAAATGTTTTAGAGAAGTCTGAAATACTTTATAAAAGGAAACAATTTACCCATCAACAAGACTTTATAGCATTGGTCAGCACTGGCCTTGAACTGAGAAGAAATGCAATCCCAGGCACAGGGAACCTGTTGCCCACCAGACATTTTGGGCTCCATTGGCCATGCTGGCTGGGACTGATGGGAAATGGAGTCAAAGAGCCTCTGAAGGGTACCAAGTTCCCCATCCCTGCTTTATCCACAACAAGAACCTTCCATACTTGTTCAAAACCATGTTCCTATGTTGATACATTTCCACACCTTTGCTATCTACAATTTAACTGCAGTCAAGGCGTGGACAATTCAATGACTACAGAGATTGCCTCTGGATTGAAGATGCTGAAAACTATTATCCCCCCGTGTTGACAGGAGCCAGAATCTGCTCTCAGGATTTTGATTTTTATTTTGCAGTTTTGGGACACCACTATCATGCATGGCAGCTGTGCGGTCCCGGGGGTTACCGTGCGGCATGGTCCAAGTCCAGTCCGAGGTAGAGGGTGTGGTAGGGAGGCTGTCCATCAAGGCTGAAGCAGGGTCCAGGGCAAGGAGTCGGGTGTGGTCAGGAACTCTGGCAGAAGAGCAGGGCAAGGTGCCAGCAGGAACATGTTACCAACAATGTTGCTCCCGCAACCTGGGACTGGGCTGGCTTTTATCTGCCCCGAGGCCTAGGGCGGTCCCGGCCCACAGGTGACTCGCCTCTCCTGGCCTGGAGGTGAGCACTCCTCCTGCGGGAACTTAGTTCCCTCCGCCTCTCTGCCCTGAGCCTCTGCAGCTCAGGAGAGGATGGAGGGTTACTGGACCCAGAGGCAACCTCACCTTCCCCTGACGGGGCTGAGAGTGGAGCACCTGCAGGCAATGGGTCCTCGATCACCTCCGGAGCCAGAGCAGATTCAGCTGGTGTCTGCTCCTGAGGATCCGGCACAGGTGAGGGCCCTTCAGGTTCAAGCCCCTGCCCCAGCTCAGCTGGTCCTGGAGGCGGGGACTCCTGTGCAGGCTGGGATTCCTCAGGTTCAGCCTCTGAATCCGATTTCCAGGCCATCACATCAGCAGGGCTGACTAACTTCTCAAAGCTGTGTGCATACAATGAACATAAAACCGAAAATCAAAAGGTGGAAAGGCACAGATCTGAAGAAGGTAAACCACTTAGATTGCAGGGAAATTCATCTTGCATTCCTTGTATATCTTCACCAGTTAGGTATGGTGAGGTATACGTGAACAGATAAGCCGAGGAAGCTGATATCTCTTGGAATGCTGAATGTATCTGGCATTTCTTTACCTTATTGTCACATTAAATAAGGCAAGGAAGATTACGCGCAAGCATTTTGATCAAGGGATGCAGTGGTGCAGAAGACTATCATGTGCCTTTCGTCAGCTTAGCTTTAGTTAATGGTCCCATGCCATAGGTCTATTTTAGAGGAGGGCAGCACAAACAGTAGCTCACGTCACATCAAAGGGGCATCACAGACTTGGTAAGGATTGCTGAGCAGGACAAGTTCCCCCTACCATTCCAAAGGCCAAACTAGACATGTTTTGCCCCATGCCTGTGCCCTTAAGCGCAGGGCTTCTATTTTTTCTTAAGTACACAAATTACCAGGGACTGGTAGGGCAAAAGCCAGGGAGATGGCGCCAGACCCAGTGACTGGCAGAGCCAACTGATTCTGGCTGTGCCTCCAGCTTCCTCCCTGCTAAGTTCTACAAGGGGCAACACAGAGACACCAAGGCTGCATACGTGTCATGCATTTAAAGAACATGCTTCCCTGAAAAGCATCCTGGGAGCTGTGGTTTGTTCAGGGTGCTGGGAATTGTAGATCTGAGAGGGTAAACTGCAGTTCCCGGGATCCCAGGGTGTGGGGGGCAGACAATGTGCTGAAAATGAATGGTATATGTGCAGCATAAGGAGGAGGAAGCTGACTTGACTTGCAAATAAGAAGGCAGGAAGGTGGGAGGCTGACTTGAGGTAGGTGGGGCAATTCCTGCTTGCCCTAATGGAGCAGCCTACATTACGGATGGGGGGCTGATCTGGACCAGGGCCCTAGTGTGGTGGTAGAGAGAAGCTTTGCAAGCAAATTCCCCTTGATTAGGAACAGTCTCTCCCCAGAATCACCCCCATGAGTAGTGCTGGATTTACGTATAAGCTAAATAAGCTATAGCTTAGGGCCCCACTCTCTTGGCCCCCCCCCCAAATTAAAGGAATAAAACCTTGATGCACATTTCCAAATAAACTAAAACCTACATACAGCAACAGTGTTTTGTGTTGTGTAGGCTCCTAGGATATAAGTAATGGCCCCCGCCCACTAGCCTGCTCCCTAAAATATCACTGGTTTGCTCATTTCTATATATAGGGTGCCTACATTCTGCATGGACTGGTTGCACGGCAACATGTGCAAATGGCTTGAGATACCTATTAGGTCCATAAATTACCACAAAAAACAGTGACAATTTGTTGTTGACAAAGGACAGCTGGAAATATAAAGGGCCCCATTACCTCCAGTAGCTTAGGGCCTCATCAAACCTAAATCCAACCCTGCCCATGAGGTACAGGAACATAGCTGATAACAACATCAAGGGTAGGAGAACAGGGTAGCTCCAGACACACAGTTGTGCCCCCATGCCTCTCAGCAGTCAGAAACCTTTCAGGAGGGGGCTTGATGGAGATACCTTCTCCCTTGCCAGCGTCGGTGGCAATTCTTAACCCAGTGCATGCAAACACACTTTCAGAAGCAGAGGCAATCTTGGGTTATGATCTAATTTAACATGCTAAGTTTTTTTTTTTAATTCCTCCCCCCTTAAACCTCATTTACATCCTGCAACACAGATTTTAAGGACAAACCTCTTTGATCTTTTTAAAAAGGGCAGCAAATGTCTGCCCTTAATTGTATCTGAACATTTCTAGGTAACTTGTAAGTAATAAGGACAAGGAGTTTCGTAGCACTGGAATTTGCATACAGCCAATTAGCATTTCAAAGGGGAATCGACAAATTGTTAGCTGTAGCCCTGATGCACATATATATGCCTGGGAAAAGGGTTAGGTGTGCAGTTGTTCTAGGTAGCTTCATAAAAACATAAACAGAGTCACCTCAGATCTAAGAAATATGAGGATGAAAGGAGGGCCTGGTTATATTGCAAGGAAGGTTTTAGATTTTTATAAGCAACGTTTTCCTGAAATATGACTGCAGACGTTTATGCTTCCCTTTGACTTCATTCATGTAATTACAGAATTCTAATCTTAATTCAAGGCATTTGAACTCCTTAATAATCAGGGAAGAGAGAGGCATTCCGGTCTGTCACTACATCTTTGCTAAGTCTGGCAACTGCTTTGCACATCCCAGATCTAAAAATGCTTCTTTTTCTGCATTGATCAAATGAGTTGGCAAACTTTTGGCTTTTAAATGTTTGATAAGCAGTTTGGTATTTTTTTTTTTAAAAAAACAACAACATAAATCCTGTAATTCTCTTTGAGACACTTTTGTTAAAAGGGATGAACACATATAATAAAATAATAGTAATAATTATTACTCCCAGAGGCATTTCCTTAAACCTGAAGCACAGCTTCAGAGTGTTGGCTTTAAGAGAGATACAAGAAAGATCACTGGATGTTAAGAAAAACCTGCTACATTTTCCAAGAGCTAAGTTGCTAGGAACTGTGGTGCCTTGCAAATTCTTTAGGATTAGCAAATTAATTAAATGTAGTACCTACGGAGAGCAAGGGCAGATTCATCCATCTGTTACTGACTTCCTCATCCCTAGAAGCTCCATCACTCGCAGCAGCGGCTCTCACCATCATCAGGTTTGCTGTAGTGTAAGTTAGACCTGCCCTGAAAAGGGAACAGAAGAAGCTACCTTATATATACACCAAGTGATACCCTGCCTTATATATATACCAAGTGAGACTGGCAGCAGCTCTCCTGAGTTTGGGGCAGGGGTCTTTCTCTGTCTGGAGATGTGGGAGACTGACCCTGGGACCTTCTGCACGCAAAGCAGATTACTGAGCTAGAGCCCAGCGAGTCAATGCCGCCAAAAAGTCTCACTGCCACCTACAGATCAAGCTTTCCACCTGTGACTGGCTTTGACACACCACGTCTCTCCCCCAGATGTGCACTGGCAGCTGTGGAGAACACTGTGTATATTTCAGCTTGGCCCTTTCCCAAAGGGATATCATAGAAAAGGTGAGAGAAATGGCAACCATTCCCTAATAGGAAAAGCCAAAGTGTTTGGGGCTTTCAGAAAAATATTATAGGACCCAAGCAGAGGTGGGCAGAGCTTTATCTAATGGAGAGAATGGACAGGGATTTTGTTTCTGTCCCTCTCCCTTTAATACTAGATGTTGGTCACATCCACATCATATATTAAAAGGATATGGCTTCCCACAAAGAATCCTGGGAACTGTAGTTTTTTAAAAAAGGGAACTGTGAATTGTAGTTCTCTGAGGGCTAAACTACAGTTCCCAGGGTGCTTCCACTTTAAAGAGCATTTAAAGCGGATGACTAAATGCATAATGTGGCTGTGACAAGGCAGACAAAAGGAAGATAAGGACCTAGGAATCTGCCTTATAGTAAGTCTGACCATTGACCCAGCTAGCTCCCACCTAAGCCTCACTTTATTATATTACTGCTGCTGGTGGTTTGATTAGAGGTGGCATGCCATTGTAAAAAATGACCTGTCTGGGAAAGGTTGGATTGCCAGAGTCTGGCTTCGGGCGTTGCATGAAAAATCCATCACTGCAGTCCTTCTAGAGACCCCAAAGTCAAAGACAAATCCATTAATATGTCCATCATCCTCTGTGTTGGCAAAGGGTCACTTTTAATTATGCTGCTGCAAAATCACACATGGGTCTTTGGCCCATGTCACCTATGGCCACACGGTGCTACCAGTGACCAGCCTGTACAATATATGTGGACCTTGAGGTAATCTTACATACGAAACTGCTGGATCAGGCAAATAGCCCATCTAGTCCAGCATCTGCTTCTTACACTGGCCAACCAGATGCTAGTGGCAAACCCACAAGCAGGACCTAAGCAGAAGATCTGATTTTCAGCCACTGGTATTCAGAAGCATTGCTGAAACTAGCCATCATGGCTAGAAGCCACTGGCAGCCTAATCCTGCATACATTTATCCAGTCCTCTTTTGAAACCATCCAGTTCGGTGGCCATCGCTGCCTTTTGGATGAGCGAGTTCTATAGTTTGACTATGTGTTGTGGAAATAAATACCTTTCTTTTACCCATCCCGAATTTCCCAGAATCAACATCATTGGGTGTCCACCACAATCAGCTTCATTGGCTCTAGTGTTGTGAGAGAGAGGGAGAAAAACGTCTCTTTCTCTCCACTTTCTCCATGCCATGCCTAATTTTGTCAGCTCCCATCATGCCAACTCTTGCTTGCCTTTTCTCCAATGCGGCAACCTTTGAGGAGAGGCAATGAGAATGGCACACAGCATTCCAAATGTGGTCGCACCATAGCTTGGCAAAACATCAACATGTCAGGGTCACGACGCTCCAGGGTTTGTCCCTGTTGTTGTTTGTTTAAGGTTTCGTAATGCGCTCTCTATATTTCATGCATTTTGGAAAATTCTACAGAAATGTTTTCATTCCTATATACCAGGCATAGGCAAACTCCAGCCCTCCAGATGTTTGGGACTACAATTCCCATCATCCCTAGCTAACAGGACCAGTGGTCAGGGATGATGGGAATTGTAGTCCCAAACATCTGGAGGGCCAGAGTTTGCCTATGCCTGATATATAACCATACATTTCCGTGTATCAGACGAGGTTTTTTTAATTAAAAAATTACATTTAAAACTGGGTGGGGGGGCGTATTATACACAAATAGTGCATTGGGGGGGACGTGTGATTGGTTGCTGCCACGAGCCGGAGAATGTGAGTGGCTATTGGGTGTGTTATTGGTTGTTGCGGCAAGGGCTTGTGTTGATTGGCAGTTGCTGCGGCAACTGGCCAGGCGATAGGTGGCTTCTCCTGGTGTGGGGACAGACGATAGGCAACATGTGAAA